ATTTTTAGAGAGAGAGAGAGAGAGACGAAGATCAACCGCTTATTTGTGCATTCATTGGCTGCTTCTCTTATGTGCCCTCACCGGACTTCGAATGGGAAACCTTGGTGTATGAGGACAATGCTCTAACCAGCTGAGCTATCCAGCCACGGCTTAACTGCATTTTTGACTTACGATATTTTCAAGTTTACAATGAGTTTATCGGGACATAACTGCAACCTAAGTCGAGGACATCTGTACAGTTTATGATGCAAAGTGTTATCTGCCCTTTTTGTAGCTACAGGATTCCTGGTTCTTAGAACTTCCCATCTATTCATTTAGTCCTGGGAACAACTGTATGAAATGGGTATAATATACGATTCTTAGCCTATTATAGTGCAGATGACCAGAGTGAGGTGCAGAGAGGTTTTGTTTTGTTTTGTTAGCATACCCTGCTGTTACACAGATGGTAAGTATCATTTCCAGGATTTAAACCTAGGCCCCTAAATGTATAACACAGTGGTTCCCAATGTGGGGCGCAGGTTGCTCTCAGAGGGGAGCAATTTGATTTTTTAAGGGGGGCAATTTGAGAATGAGTTATTAGTAGTGAAGTTTTTGCATTTCTTATGGTTCTAGGGGTCTCATATACAGTACATAAATATATATTGTGACATTTATGCATTCAATTCTCTATTATATATTTTGAACATCACTTCATATTATTATTATTATTATTATTATTATTATTTTTAACAATTTCTTAGTGATTTCTTCCTCAGTCCTTCAACTGTCCTTTCGTTCTTTTATTTTTCTCTTTCATGGATGCCATGTTCTTTGGAAGCTTGTTTAGACCAAGTTAATGGCTTTTTAGGCTTCCTCCACGTGGATAGGAGTTCACTTTTTTTTTTCTTTTTTTTAAAAAAAGGAGTTTACTTTTTGAATAATAAGAATTATATGTCACGGGGGGGCTTCAGGATGTTAGAGATGCTTAGGTGGGGCATGGCCAAAAAAAGGTTGGGAACCACTGGTATAACACAATTTGAGCTTGCTATAGCAACAAAGTCTAACTTTCTCAGGTGCTCTCTCTTCTATGAGATAAGCCAATATATAGACTTAGATAGTATAATAAATAATAAGAATAAGAATATAGAAAATAGAATAAATAAACAAACCTAGGCCCCTGACTCCAGAGCCCACTTTTTTTTAACCCTTGTGTTGTTACAGTGCCTCTCATTTCTTACCATCCGAGGGTCAGAAACCCTTACAGTAGGGATACTGCATTTGGTTGTGCAGATCACTATCCAGTGGTCCCTGGCGGACAAACCCATTAGTAGCTGTGGTCTCTTCCATGCTCCGCTTATCAAACCGTATGTGGCTGCATCTGCCTGGAAGTAGGAGTGCTCTTTGGTAATTTCTTCAAAGGCCCACATGGGCTTATGGGAGCCCAGACCTGTGGCTCATGGCTTCTTCTTTTTTTTTTTTTTAAATGTATCTTTATTGATTTCAGAGAGGAAGAGAGAGGGAGAGAGGGAGAGAAGCATCAATGATGAGAATCATTGATTAGCTGCCTCCTGCACGCCCCCTACTGGGGATCGGGCTCACAACTGGGTATGTGCCCTTATGGGGAATGGAACCTCTTGGTTCATAGGTGGACGCTCAGCCACTGAAGCCACACCAGCCAGGCTCATGGCTTCTTTGTCCTTCCCCAGTTATGCCTTCTCAGGACTCTGACGTTCCCCAGAAGGAGCAGGAGAAAATGACCAAGTTTCAGGTAAGTAAGGCATTTCTTTCTGTCTCCTAAGATGTGATTTTATTTCTCAAAGATTAGGCACATCTTTTTTCTCTTCCTTGGAAAGGTTCATGGAAAACAACTGATCTTGAGTGCATGTTGTGCGCTAGACTCTGTGTGTGTGTGTGTGTTTTGTTTGTTTTATTGTATCTTTATTATTTCACAAAATAATTCGAAAAAGATAATACAAATCTGAAATAGACAAAAATAATTTCCATTGTTATTACCCTCTTTTACAAACTAGCTGTTTTCACTTTCCCATATCCCTTTCTCACATGCACTCATACTTATACATTTGCAAAATTAGAATTGACAGGATATACTTATACATATTAGATAAAGGCTTACTATTGACAATGCTTATTAAGGTTAGTAAGATAAACTCAAGGGAATATGAATAAAAGAAATGAGCCACACAAAAAATAAAGTAAATTTATGTAGAAAATAATGATCACTAATAACTAAATGTGTGTAAATGTTAATAAAAACTTTATTTCACTTAGGCTGTCAAATTTTTTTTAAAGGAATTATGTCCTATTTGTCCAGAGTCTAGAGCAGTGGTTCCCAACCTTCCTAATGCCGAGACCCTTTAATACAGTTCCTCATGTTGTGGTGACCCCCAATTTCATTGTTACAAATTGAACATAATTAAAGCATAGTGATTAATCACAAAAACAATATGTAATTATATATGTGTTTTCCGATGGTCTTAGGCGACCCCTGTGAAAGGGTCGTTCGACCCCCAAAGGGGTCGCGACCCGCAGATTGATAACCGCTGGTCTAGAGATTCGGGGACATTTGTATTCTCACATGAAAGGTGACTTGGGCCCTATTTGGTTTGGCTCAATGGATAGAGAGTCAGCCTTCGGACTGAGGGGTCCCAGGTTCGATTCTGGCCAAGGGCACATGCCTGGGTTGCGGGCTCAATCCCCAGTAGGGGGCGTGCAGGAGGCAGCCAATCAATGATTCTCTCTCATCATTGATATTTCTATCTCCCTTTCTCTTCCTGTCTAAAATCAATAAAATATATTTAAAAAGAAAAAAAAAAAAGAAAGGTAACTTGGGAAAACCTTTAGAGAGGGAAATCTGCTATTTGCCATTCTGCTTTCAAATTTGTAACTTCATATTCTATTCTATGACTTTGCAATCACTACTTCTTAGCTAAGATCTCTGTAAAAGAATCTTTGCAGCATTGATTATAAGTAAAAAATCCGTAATTAATTATATATTTGTATTAATTAAAGATAAATCATCACAACAACAACCACCACCAAAAAAAACATCAAAAAACAAAGATAAATGGTCAGTTCTAAGGAATACTATACTCTGCAATCCCAAAATGGAATGGAAGAGTCTATAACGATACCAGTTGTTCAAACTTACTTGGTATTTGTTATGTGCCAGGCACCATTTTAACTACTTTACGTATATTCACTCATCTAATCCTTTCAAACATCTTGTAATTTAGACACCATTGTAGAGAAGAGGAAGTGGAGATTATTAGAGGTTAAGGAATTTGTCCAACATCTTGTAACTAATACCTTGGCATTTGAACTCAGCCTGTTCCTTCATCAGCTGTGGCATGTGTCTTCAAAACATAGAGGAAGAGCTATAAGCTATAGACCTGTCTTGGAGGATTGCTGAAGGCCTGTGAACTTTGCAAACGTTAAAAACAGTGACAGAGCCCAAGATTTGTAGGGAGACAGGGAGAGGTAGTGAGAGAGGGACAACTGTTGACTAAAAACTGCCTGGGGTCCTCCATCTCTGTAACGGTTTTTTGGTAACATTCTTTAACTTGTTGATGGTGCCTTTATGGGCCTTTTTTGCAAGATTTAGGTGGAGTGTGTTTGGTATTGTAGGAGGCGGTGACCTTCAAGGACGTAGCTGTGGTTTTCACTGAAGAGGAGCTGGCGCTGCTGGACTCTGTCCAGAGGAAGCTGTACCGGGACGTGATACTGGAGAACTTCCGGAACCTGGTCTCAGTGGGTGAGGACGGGCGCCCTCTGACACTGAATCTCAGCCCCTTTGAGAGTCTCTGTGTCCTCAGTTCAGAGCGTTGGACCTTTTGAAATAGTTCCCTGACCTTGAAGACACAGTTTTTCTAACCCCTGGGATTACAAGCAAAGGTTTTTCTGGTCTTCCTGCTCAGGGAAAAATCTTGTCACCTTTCCCTCCTCCCCCCGCAAGGACATTTGGCAATGTATGGGGACAGTTTTGATTGTCATGACCGGGGGAGGGGTGCTAGCGATGCCGCTAAACCGCTTTCAATGCACAGGACAACCCCACAGCAGAGAATTAGCCAGTCCAAATGATCAACACTGCCTGGGCTAAGAAGCCCTATTTTAAATGAAGTATAAACGGGCAGCTTAACTTTTATACTTTGTCGTTCAAATACTTCATCTTTCAAATTATGGTTGTGACCCATTGATAGGTCATGGAATCAACTTAGCACATTGTACAGGGGTAGGCAAAAGGAAGTTTACAGCTGTGAGTGACATTCTTTTGATTTAAAGCTTTTCCATATGAGCAGCTGTAACGTACATTTGCCCACCCCTGCATTGGCATTACTTCCCCCCCCCCCATGAAATAGTTCCTATCCTTTTTCTATTTTATTCTATCAGTGTTCTGTATCAAGACCTGCCTGCTCACATTGCAGTCTATACTATGTCCATTTGCAGTGAGTGGTGTGAGCATGTGAGAAATTCAATGGAAACAGACAATGGCTAAATCTAATTTTATCTATATACTAGAGGCCTGGTCCACAAAATTCGTCACTTGGCGGGGGTTTCCTCAGCCTGGCCTGTGCCCTCTCTCAGTCCAGGAGCCCTCGGGGGATGTCTGACTGTGGTGGAGGTGGGAGAGGCTCCCACCACCGCCTCTGTGCTCGCCAGCCATGAGCCCAGCTCAATAATTCTGGCTGAGCGGCGCTCCCCCTGTGGGAGCACACTGACCATCAGGGGGCAGCTCCTGCATTGAGCGTCTGCCCCCTGGTGGTCAGTGCACATCATTGCGACTGGTGGTTCTGCCATTCAGTCGATTTGCATACATTAGCCTTTTATTATATAGGATAGACATGAACCAGGTCACGACCTAAATTTCTTTATTATTATAGTTCATAATCAAAAAGCTCTTAAAAATACCACTTTACAGGTTCTGAGGATTATGGAATTTGAACAAAAATATATTTTAGCTCTCTGCGCATTTTACATATATACATATATCTGCCTTTTCATAGGATATCTTCCCTTCAAACCAGGTAAGGCAACCCAGTTGGAGGCAGAAGAAAACCTTTGGATGATGGAAAGAGAAACTCAAAGAAATGGGAATTCCAGGGAGAACCACATGGCTGTTCTTTCAGGTACCGGCTAATCTGCTCACTGCATCTGTGATTACCACTCGTATGGGAGTGCTGTCATCTCTTGCCTGGACTGTGACAATAGTCTCCACACCAGCAAAAGGGATAGATGCAGAGGGTGAGGTCTCAGAGGGTCCCCTCCTGCTCCCTCTTATAAGGACGCTTGTGATTACTTTGGACCCATCCAGATAACCCAGGGTAACCTCCCTCTCAAGAGCCGTAATTCAGTCACATCTAATGTCCCCTTTGTCAAGAACATTAATATGTTCCCAGGTCCCACGGATTGGGGTGTGGATGTCTTTGAGGGCCATTCAATTAGCCCACCACACCCAGAACCGTGTATATACCTGCTGAGACTCTTTTAGCCTGTATTATTAGAATCTAACTTTCCAATAAATTTTTAAGGATTTGGTACCCTTCTCCCTCACCTTAAACATTTTAAGCCAATGGCTTCCAACCATTTTTAGTCATGACCTTCAATAAGAAATATTTTACATCTTGACCCAGCATCAATATAATGTATGTGCATATTTACATATGTGCCTGTAGCTGAAACAAGCATTTCACACAGTTGTGGTACCCTTAGCTTGTGATACATTTCTCATGTTTTTATTCTTTTTTAAAAATATTTGTCACAATTATGGAATCGGGTTCACAGTTCACTAATACCTCTTAGCAATTTGAATAATTCTGTCGCAGCCGTGATAAAGCAGTAAAGAAAACAGTGCATGTTTTTCCTGTGACCATTACATTCTAGTGGGTCTAAAACGACAAGAAAAATTTAGGAAGTATATAGTCAATCAGGCAAGTGCTATGGGGCAAAATAAAGCAGGAAAGGCAAATGGGAAGAATCAAAGGTGTATGGGGGTGAGGAGGAATTATTTTATATTGAGTGATAAGGAAGGCCTCACCCAATTGAGTGACATTTGAGTAGAGACCTGAGGGGATGAGAAACAACACAGTACATAGCTCTCCCGAGAAAGCTTTGCAAGGCGAGGAGACCTCCCCCTCTTCCTCATCAGGATTGCCTTTGAGAGTCTGCACTGTGCCCTGTTTCTTTCCTTTTCCCAGGTTCTTCCTGAGTTGTACCAGATTAGTTTTCCCTTTTCCACTTCTTACTGAGACCTGGTTTACTTCCAGACTTAGAACAATGAATATTATTAGTCCGACCATTTCCCAAATTTACTCTTAGAAGATAATTTCTACCAGGACCTAAAATCCTATTGTATGCCTACAGTCTGAGCTTTTGTAGCCCAATGAGTAGAATCCCACTGGTCATAGGAATACTGTGGACAAGGTGAGCAGCTTTTAATCGATGTCACTGTAGGTTGGAATGGGGATTGTCTTTGTTGCTCTGCAGCCATCTGAGTCCAGACTTCAGCTCAGGTGTTACATGTTAGACTTATGGTTCTGAATGGGTCACCTTTACACTTAGTGGGTAAGAGTCTGGTGACACCATTCTTTGCTTCAACTGCACGGGAAAGCAAGAAAAGGACAAATGTTGTACAGAGATGACCCTCCCCTAGGTTTATGAAGACCTTGCCCTATGGTCTGAGTGTGAAATCCTGACATTTCTGAGCAAAGCTTTCACTTGTCGTCATCTTGGAATACCGCTTTTTCTTACAGGCAGCAAGAACCAGAATGAGGTGGAGATTCTTCAGAAAGTTGCATTAAAGTACCTTTCACATGAAAAGCTATTCTGGCAAATCTGGAGACAGATTGCAAGTGATTCAACCAGGTGTCCTCAGAGGGAGAGCTCCCGGTTACTACAAGGCAGTTCTGATCAGACTTCTGGGAGTGGGAGCGGCGTGGTGAAATGTAAAGGAGATGGCTCCTGTTGTGTTGAAAATCAAGACTGTTTCCATGTCGAGGATGCTTGTGGGAATATACACCTGAGCGAGTCACAGAATCAGAATGGAGGTAAACAAAGTCATGTGAAAGCTAACCTGCATGCCTGCGAAGCTGTGAAGAAATCACTACTTAGTGATCATATTAAAATTCACACAGAACAGAAACCCTACAAATCTAATGACTGTGGGAACAGCATGAGCGATGGCGTCAGTCAGCATTTACCCTGCAGAGAGGAGCTGCATCTCTGTAGTGAGTGTGGGAAGGGCTTCAGTTACAGCTCACGGCTTTCAAGTCACCAGACTGCACACCCAGGAGGGAACTGCTTGGCTCAGAACTCACACCTGCAGGCTCCTCAGAGGATTCACCCAGGAGAGAAACTCTCGAAATGTCATGACTCCGGTGATTGCTTCAATGAGAGTTCCTTTCCTTCTCATTCTAATGCAGGAGAAAAGTCCTATAGATGTGACAGCTGTGGCAAGGGATTCAGTAGCAGCACAGGTCTCACCATTCATTACAGAACTCACACTGGAGAGAAACCTTACAAATGTGAGGAGTGTGGTAAATGCTTTAGTCAGAGTTCAAACTTCCAATGTCATCAGAGAGTCCACACTGAAGAAAAGCCATACAAATGTGAAGAGTGCGGCAAGGGCTTCGGTTGGAGTGTTAATCTTCGTGTTCATCAGAGGGTCCACAGGGGTGAGAAACCCTATACCTGTGAGGAGTGCGGGAAGGGCTTCACTCAGGCCGCCCACTATCACATCCATCAGAGGGTCCACACTGGGGAGAAACCTTATAAGTGTGATGTCTGTGGTAAGGGCTTCAGTCACAATTCACCATTAATATGCCACCGGAGACTCCACACTGGAGAGAAGCCGTACACATGTGAGGTGTGTGGGAAAGGCTTTACTCGCAATACAGATCTTCACATCCATTTTCGGGTTCACACGGGAGAGAAACCCTACAGATGTAAGGAGTGTGGGAAGGGCTTCAGTCAGGCTTCCAATCTTCAAGTCCATCAGAACGTCCACACGGGGGAGAAACGATTCAAATGTGAAACTTGTGGGAAGGGCTTCAGTCAGTCTTCAAAGCTGCAGACCCATCAGAGAGTCCACACTGGGGAGAAACCCTACAAATGTGATGTGTGTGGAAAGGGCTTCAGTTACAGTTCCAACCTTAAACTGCACCAAGTAATTCACACGGGAGAGAAGCCATACAAGTGTGAGGAGTGTGGGAGGGGCTTTAGTTGGAGATCAAATCTTCACGCTCATCAGCGAGTCCACTCGGGGGAGAAGCCTTATAAATGTGACAAGTGTGATAAGAGCTTCAGTCAGTCCATCGATTTTCGGGTCCATCAGAGAGTCCACACTGGAGAGAAACCGTACACGTGTGGTGTGTGTGGGAAGGGCTTCAGTCAATCCTCTGGCCTTCAGTCCCATCAGAGAGTCCACACTGGGGAGAAGCCATACACATGTGATGTCTGTGGCAAGGGCTTTAGGTACAGCTCACAGTTTCTATACCATCAGAGAGGCCACACTGGGGAGAAACCTTACACATGTGAGGAGTGTGGGAAAGGCTTTGGCAGGAGCTTGAATCTTCGCCATCATCAGAGGGTGCACACGGGAGAGAAGCCCCATAAGTGTGAGGAGTGTGGTAAGTCCTTTAGTCTCCCCTCAAATCTTAGAGTCCATCTGAGTGTTCACCTTAGGGAGAAACTATTTACATGTGAGGAGTGTGGGAAGGGCTTCAGTCAGAGTTCACGTCTTCAGGCCCATCTGAGAGTCCACACTGGAGAGAAACCGTACACGTGTGACGTATGCGGGAAGGACTTCAGTCACCGCTCACGTCTCACTCACCATCAGAAAGTCCACTCTGGCAAGAATCGTTAAGAATGAGAAATGTGTTCATGCTTCCAGTCAGGTTGTACATCTAGTTTTTGGAGAGTCCATGCTGGGGATAAAACACTATAAAGTTTTGAGAGTGGAAAGGGGTTTTATAAATATTTCTCTTTTCCGAGACCAGCACGGCTAGAGAGTGGACAGGAGTCCTGAGTAGGGGCGACAGGGGATTGAGAAAATGAAAGAGACACAAAGACAGTAGGAAAGCTGGGACCGGGTGGGACAGCTGTCCTCTGATGGAGAGACAGGGACCCAGAGCCGATACAGTGCATTTATTTTATACAGTAAGATACCAGGAAGTTTTACCAAAGTTTAAGATAAAGTATGTGCATTCTTGTGGCTTCTTTGTAATCACTTCTGGATGGGCTGGATAATCATGTTTGTTCCTGGTGCCTGGCTGGATTTAGATAATGAAATCCACCCCCTGGTGCCTGAACTAAAGGTCAGACTGACAGCACACCTGCCTCTGGCAAGGTATGTTTCCAGGGCATGGCTCTGCCAGGCTCCACTGGATTCAGACAATTGTCATCTCAGGGGCCTTTCCCAGGCGCTCTCTACAGGGTTTCTTCACTTGGAATCTAATAAATCCAGGAATAGGACTGATATTCAGGGAGAAATATGTTGTAACCCTCTTGGTAAAATCCAGTTGATGTAAATGATCTTTCAAAATGAGTGCATGCCAAAAAAGAAGGTGTGAAAAGGATTATTTGCCATATACAATCTAGTTTGGGGGCTATCAGGGAAGGTTTTGGATTATTTTCTCATTAACTTCCAATTTATATGTATTTACAGTGACCATTATTTTTTTTACTAAAGCTTAAAAGGTATGAAAAATGAAATGAATAAAATAACTAACTAAAAATTACCTATAGTCAAGGACTCATAATATGATTGCTTTATTTCATACAGTATATTGGATTAAAATTAAAGAATTATCCCCAGAGGTGAATCTTTGCTCTTCAGAAGTGAATTTGTGTTTGCAATGTTCATGTATATGAACATTAATTGCATTATTGATTATAAACACAAACATAGAAATAATCATTGATTGTCAAAGTGTTTTACAATTTATTGATCCAGAGGAACACTATGCAAACATCAAATGGGAGAAGGTAAATTTGTAGTAAAAGATGTTGGATGATGTCCAGAATATATTCATTTGGAAAACAAATCTTGGGATTTTCATGTGATCACATTTTTTTTAAAAAAAAGGTATAAATGCATTACCTAGGTATTCTAGTTATCTCTCAATGGGATTTTGCATTTTTTGTGTTCTAATAAAACTTTATTATGGACACTGAAATTTGAATATATTATATATTTTTCAGGTGTCATGAAATACTCTTTATTTCCCCCATCTGTTAAAAATGTAGAATACATTCTTTGTTATTTTTGTGGGGTATTTTTGTTGTTAATCCTCACCTGAGGATATTTTTTTCCATTGATTTTTAGAGAAAGAAAGAGAGATAGAAACATTGATGTGAGAGAGACACCTGGATTGGCTGCCTCCTGCACATGCCCTGACTGGGGCCAGGGATCAAACCTGAAGCCAAGGTATGTGCCCTTGACCAGAAATTGAACCCACAACCCTTCAATGCCAGGGCCAATGCTCTAACCACTGAGAACAGCATCCAGGGTATATAAACTAGTTCATGGGCCATACTAAACGAGGTGGCAGGCTGGTTTTGGCCCACAAGCTATAGTTTGCTGACTCCTAATCTAGTTGATCATATTTTAAAAAAATTTTAAATTACAGTTAACATTCAATATTATAGCAGTACAGCATAGTGGTTGGACATTTATATAACTTAAGAAGTGATCCCCAATAAGTCTAATATCCACCTGGCACCATACATAGTTATTAAAATATTGACTATACTAGAGGCCCGGTGCACGAAAATCATGCACTGGAGGAGGGAATCCCTCAGCCCGGCCTGTGCCCTCTCGCAGTCTGGGATCCTCGCTCCTTAATGCCTCCCTGCTTGCTGCTCCTTAGCGCTGCTACAGAGTCGGGAGAGGCTCCCGCCACTGCCGCTGCTCTCACTAGCTGTGAGCCTGGCTTCTGGCAGCTGAGCGGCATGCCCCCTGTGGGAGCGCACTCACCACCAGGGGCAGCTCCTACCTTGAGCGTCTGCCCCCTGGTGATCAGTGGGCATCATAGTGACTGGCTATTCTGTAACAGTCAATGAGACTTTTATTATATAGACCCCCTATGCTGTACTTTACATCCGCAGGACTACTTTGTAACTGCCAATTTGTACCTCTTTCACCCAGCCTCCCAACTCCTGCATTTCTTTAAACTTGTTGTTTTGAAATAATTTAAACCTTTCTGTAAAAATTATATAAAACCTCATATACAGTTGGTAATGTGTTTGAGTCATTATTCTATACAAGTGAATTTGTATATATATTGATACTTCTGTGTACATGCACATTTTTAAAAAATATTTTTATTGATTTCAGAGAGGAAGGGAGAGGGAGATAGAGATAGAAACATCAATGATGAGAGAGAATCATTGATCAGCTGCCTCCTGCACACCCCCTACTGGGGATCAAGCCCGCAACCCGAGCATGTGTCCTTGACTGGAATCGAACCTGGGACCCTCCAGTCTGCAGGCCGACGCTCTATCCACTGAGCCAAACCAGCCAGGGCCATGCACATTTTTTTAAAAAAAACTTACTTCCCTTTCTCTTTTTTTTTGAAATTTATTTTTTGGTAGGTGATGAAATTAAAATCAACTTATGGGATCTTCAAGGTGTATATTGCCTCTGGCAGAATTTAATTATTCTTCATAGGAATATCTAGTTCTTCCTATGCCAGTTACCGAAATTTTGCCTCATTCCCCACTACTTTGCAGTACCATGTTTAAAGAAAACCAGTAATCCTATAGAATAAAAGGCTAATATGCAAATCGTCCTTATGGGTGGGAGTTAGAGCCACAGGGAGTTAGATGTGCACTGACCACCAGGGGGTGGCACTGGCAGCGGGGGAGAGAGGGGGGCGGGCAGTGGAGGTACTACCGGTCCTGATGGGCCCTGATGAAAGTGGAACTGCACAGGATGGTGGGAGTAGGTGAGTAGGTGAGCGGGCGGCTCCAGGCCAAGGCGAGTGTGAAGGGAGGCCCTGGTCGGTAGCCGGCAGCCGCTAGGGACCTTACCTGTGCACAAATTTTGTGCATTGGGCCTCTAGTCTATACATAATTACAGGTCTGTTTTGGCTCTTAATTTCCTTTGATTGATCTATTTTTCAATATTTTTACCAAAACCATAGTACTTTAGTTACTATAGCTTTGCAATGAGTCTTTTTTTATTTATTTATAAATTTTTATTGATTTCAGAGAGGAAGGGAGAGGGAGAGAGAGATAGAAACATCAATGATGAGAGAGAATCATTGATCGGCTGCCTCCTGCACGCCCCCTACTGGGGATCAAGCCCGCAACCCAGGCATGTGTCCTAATGGGGAATCAAACCATGACCTCCTGCTTCATAGGTTGATGCTCAACCACTGAGCCACGCCAGCCAGGCTTTCAATGAGTCTTGATATTTAGTAGAGGACGTGTTCTTATCTTGTTCTCTTTTAGGATATCTTGGCAACTTTCAGGAGATACAAACAGAACCACCCATAAAATATTCTTTCTGAAAAAAAATGAATTAGCCCAGCCCATGTGGCTCAGTGGTTGAGTGTTCAATTCCTAGTCAGGGCACATGCCGGGGTTGCATGCTCGATCTCCAGTAGGGGGTGTGTAGGAGGCAGTGATCAATGATTCTCTGATCATTGATGTTTATATCTCTCCCTCTCCTTTCTCTGAAATCAATAAAAATATATTTTAAAAAATGAATCAGGACACCGACTTGTGCCTGGCCCACAGTCCTTTCTCCTCCCCTTACTCCAACCCCCTATAAAACCCCTCTTCCCACAGGGCTAGCTCTCTCTGCCACTTGCTGCTGCGTCAGTAAGGAGGGTAGGGGAGCCAAGCCCAGGCTTGAATAAAGACTCTTATGCTTTTGCATCGGAAAAAAAAAATGAATCAAATTGAGCCTCTAACTCTAATCATTGTTTTATAGACAATATGGAGAAATATTTGCAATAACATGAATATAACAGGAGGGCATTATGTTAACTGAAATAAGCCAGACAGAGAAAGACAAATACTGCCTAGTAGAATTATATGTGGAATCCAAGGGAGGAAAAAAGTTAAACTCATAGAAACAGAGTAGAATGGTGGTGGTTGCCTGGGGGATGCAGGTGGGGGTGGGGGAAGTAGGGAGAGGTTGGTTCAAGGGTGCAGACCTTCAGTTATAAGATGATTAAGGTCTGAGGATCCAGTGTATTCCACGTTAACTACAGTTGAAATTTGCTGAGAGTAGATCTTAAAGGTTCTCACCACAAAGTTAGCAATGTGAGTTGATGGATGTGTAAGTTAGATTGTAAGTACATTCACAATGTACTTACTATACATATACCAATTCATAGCATACATTTTATTTTTTTAAAATATATTTTATTGATTTTTTACAGAGAGGAAGGGAAAGGGATAGAGAGTTAGAAACATCGATGAGAGAGAAACATCGATCAGTTGCTTCCTGCACACTCCCTACTGGGGATGTGCCTGCAACCAAGATACATCGATTCCTTGACTGGAATCGAACCCTGGACCCCTCAGTCCGCAGGCTGACGCCCTATCCACTGAGCCAAACCGGTCAGGGCTTAACAAAAAATTTATTGATTGACTTTAGAGAGTGAAGGGAAGGGAGAGAAACATTGACTTGTTGCTCCACCCATTCATGCATTCATTGGTTGCTCCTTGTATGTGCCCTGACCATGGATCAAATCTGCAACCTTGGTGTATCAGGGCAAAACCAACTGAGCTACCTGGCTAGAGACTAAATATAGGGTGTCCCTCCAAAATGTATCCACACACTTTGAATAATTACCAAGGCAGTGTTTATTAAAATACATTGCATTTTCAAAATTGAGCTATCAGTGCTCGCTTTGGCAGCACATATATTGAAATTGGAACGATACAGAGAAGGTTAGCATAGCCCCTGCACAAGGATGGCACACAAATTCATGAAGCGTCCCATATTAAAAAAAAAAAAAAGAGCTACCAGTTGTTAAAGTGTATACATTTTTTGAGACACCCTAGCATACCTCAAAAAAAGTGCCCTAAAAAAAGTTGAATTTGTTAGTTACTTGAGTGCGATCCCATATCCCATACATCCACACCTATTTTTTTGAATAAGCATGGGTCTTATAGAAAAGTAAAACATCCTATCGTATTTATGATGTCAAGAGCAGCCTGGATATAGATTATGAGACGTTTGAAGGTGAGCTAAAGGAAGAAACATTTTCAACATACATTCGAGGCTTTTTCAAGTTACAGTATTTCCCTCACTTTCTTGACTGTATTTTCTTTCACTTGCCAGAAAACTAATTTAAAAATGAATATTTAAAACCAAGATAAACGGGAAACTTTTGGTATTTGTTCTGTGGGGTGGTGAGAGATCACTTTTCCTTTTCGTGTGTCCAGCATTTCCGAATGAATAGCTCACACAAGATAAACTGTCAGAGGTTTAGAGGCATCCAGGGGCTACCAGACTTTGAGATCCTTTAACTTTCTGCCCTATTCATCCACACTGACTTTTCAGTCACACTTATTAATACTGTGATTTTTTTTAATTTAGAAAAAAGAAAAGAAGAAAAAAAAAAAAGTCAAGCTCTAATAGTGCCTAAGAACTGACCGAACTGAATCATCTTATGTATTTTTTTTTGAAGCGGCAACCTAAGATAAGCGCCACCTTGTGGAGGATTCTGGGAAGTGTAGTCCAGAAGCGCTGGGCAGTGAGATCCACTTCCGCTCTGGGAAGGCGGAGCGGTGGCCCCCGTTTCCCTCCGGGATTCTGAGTGGGATGGGCGCGAGTCACCACGATCTCCGAGGAGGTGAGCGAGTGAGCGAGTGCGGACCCCGTGTCTCTGACTGGCTTGCGTGGCGTGGGCCCCGTAGGTGCCATCCTCGCTCTTGGGGAACAGAAGCGGCGGATGGCAGGTTTGTGCAAGGTTCGCGCGTGGAGTTGGGGGTCGGCCGGGTCGGGAATCTGTTTCTGTGTCTCTGGGCCGATCCCCTCGCCTCCCTTACTTCCGCTTACTCCGTACCTTTCCGGTTGTATAATCTTGGTGGAGTTATTGATTTATCTGTTTCTCCTGCCTAGAGAGGGGTTGATAGTCGTGTCACCGGACAGTAGTGTCCCACTGGACCGGGATCAGGCCGAGTCGCCCCCCAGCCGGCCGGGAGTGTGTGGGGTCTAGATTTCGTGTAGGTGAGATTTCCCAGCAGGAATCCAGGTGATTTTAAGAGGCCGTTTATTAAAGCTGGGACAGGAAGAGTTTAGGGGAAAGAAAATAGAAAGTTCACCCGTGACAAGGCGGAGGCGTGCTCCAAAGGGAGCGAGGGCCGGCTTCCTTTATCTTGAGGGGTTTTATCTGCTTCCCAAAGGCGGGATTTTTAGGGGAGGATCTCGAAAAAATATTCATCAGCTTTTCCAGGTGTGCACTTTCATGGGCTTGATCTCCACTGTTAGGTCAGCGCCAGGGCACGTGGTCATTCGTCATTGCAGCTGGCCCTGGCCTCCCTGTCCTGGTTTTGCAGTTTTTCTGGGCCTGGAGCTGAAATACAACGGATGCCTTGATGTTATCTCTGGAGAGGGAAAGTCAGGGGGAAGATCTTAACCGATGACCAGCGATCTGAAACATCACCCTGTGGCAAGGTCCGGCACCAGTTTTCCCGGGGCCTTCCACCTGTGACCTGTGTCTGGCTGTGAATTGCTCTGCCGGTTGGTTCAGTTTTCTGTTTTCCCATTCCACTTGCCAAGGAGTTTTCCTAGCTTCTTACTGTTCTGCCTTAGGAGGACCTCCCTAGTGGGTGCGTTGTAAGATTAGGTGAAAGTAAAAGATGTGGCCCTAGCCGGTTTGGCTCAGTGGATAGAGCGTCGGCCTGAGGACTCAAGGGTCCCAAGTTCGATTCCGGTTAAAGGCATGTACCTTTGTTGCGGGCACATACCCAGTGGGGAGTGTGCAGAAGGCAGCTAGCTGTTCGATGTTTCTCTCATCGATGTTTCTGACTCTCTATCCCTCTCCCTCCCTCTCTGTAAAAAATCAATAAAATATATTTTTTTTAAAAAGATGTAAAAGTGCTTAGCAGTGATCCTAGCACAAGCTAAGAGGTGGCTGGTTGTTATCAATCTATTATTTCTTTCTGAGAAGCTTCGGTGCTGAGCCTGCCTAAGTTCTGAGCTCCAGCTACAGCACCGCTGGCCCTTGTCCTCTGTGGTGGGGAGCGGGGCTGTTGGTGGATTGCTAAGGACACCCCACTCCCCCCATCCTGTTTGAAAGGCAGAAGTGGGCCCTCCCCCGCTGGTGCCTGGAGGATGCCCACTGTGATTCATCCTGGACCAGAGACACTATTGTAATATCTTCCAGCCTCCTGTCCTTTCTCATCCTGGCTTCTCAAAGAGGGTGCAGAGAGGAGGGTAACATTGTCCCAACGTGGGATAATTTAACAAGCTGTGCGTCATTTCTGTTCTCAATAGGGAAGCGGACTTCCTTCACTCATTAGCAAGTTTTCTCTATTGGGCAAATGTTCAGACATTTAATGAGTGAAGGGGAGGTTAGATGAGACATGTGTTGATGAAGGAGTAACAATATTTAACTTGTTGAGTGACAGTCTTCTATAGGTTTTATTTGCTTTAATTAGTTTAATCCTCATAACAGACAAAGAATTTTGATTGGCAAAGAGTTTCAGGGAATAGAGAAGACAGAACTGAGAATTTGAACCCAGGCAGCCTGGGCTCTTGACCTTCCTGCCATACCCTCCTTCAGCCCTAAGAAATGGTAATCTACCAAGGACTGAAGGAGGGAGGGCCATTTGGCAATAATTTAGGACCTTAGCGCACTTGAAGGCTATGCTCATTTAATTCCTTGTTATTTTATATGACATTATATTCATATTCTGATTATTGAGTTAATTTGTGCTTATCATAGAGAATTTGAGAAATAGCTGAAGGAAGCCAAACATTATCCATGATCCAGGTGTAGAGATAACTATAAGGATGTTAATGTATTTCTCTTTGCTTGTTTCTATGTATGTATATATTCTCTGTGCTTCTCAAAACTTGTATCATAGTTGTCATCCTCGTGACAACTGTGATCATGAACCTTTCAAACACAAGTGTAGAGAAAATAATATACTAATGAATGTATACTAATGTATGATCATAGCCTTCAGCTGTTGTCAACTTTTTGTTCATCTTGTTATATAGTCCTCCCCCGTTATCACATTTGCTTTGGTATTTTATTGCCAACTCCAGACACTGAGTCTAGAAGATGTATATTGGATTATTATAAATATACTAGAGGCCCAGAGCATGAAAATCATGCATGGGGGGGCGTCCCCTCAGCCTAGCCTGCACCCTCTCCAATCCAGGACCCCTTGGGGGATGTCCGACTGCCGGTTTAGGCTCGATCCCGAGGATTGGGCCTAAATCAGCAGTTGGACATCCCTCTCACAATCCTGGACTGCTGGCTCCTAATCGCTCACCTGCCTGCCTGCCTGCCTGGTCACCCCTCACTGCCTCTGTGTGCCGGCCTGGTCACCCCTAACTGCCCTCTCTGCTGACCTGATCACCCCCAACTGCCCCTCCCACTGGCCTAGTTGACCCTCACTGCCCCCCCTGCCAGCCTGATCGCCCCCAACTACCCCCCTGCCGGCCTGGTCACCCCCAACTGCACCCCCTTTGCTGGTCTGGTCAACCTTAACTGCCCCCCCCCCCCACCAGCCTGGGTGCCTCTTACTGCCTCCCCCTGCTGACCTGGTCACCCCTAACTGCCCCCCTCTGCTGGCCTGGTTGCCCCTAACTGCCCCCTCTGCAGGCCTAGTCACCCCTCATTGCCCCCCCTGCCAGCCTAATTGCCCCCAACTGCCCCCCCCCCCATGCTGGCCTAGTTGCCTCTTACTGAGCCCCTGCCAGCCTGGTCACCCCCAACTGCCCCCATCTCTGGCCTGGTTGCCCCTCACTGCCCCCTGCCAGCCTAATTGCCCCCAACTGCCCCCCCCATCAGCCTGGTTACCCCTAACTGCCCCCCCTCCCCGCCGGCCTGGTTGCCCCTCACAGGCCCCCTGCTGGCCTGGTCACCCCACGCAGCTGCTTGTTCAGTCGTTTGGTCATCCCTCACTAACCCCCCTGCCGGCCTGGTCGTAGGCAGCCATCTTGTGAGGGTGTGGGGGTTAATTTGCATATTACCTCTTTATTATATAGGATGGGGGTCAAGGGAGAGAAGACATTAACAATTCCAAAGTTCTCACATGGTAACTGGGAGAATGGTGGTTAGTGAGAAAGCTGGGGGTCCTGAAGAGTTGCAGTTAAAGGGGAGGCGCTGAATTTTGTTTGTTTATTTGGAATTTAATCTGCTCTTGGTTTCCAGCTGGTGTCTCCTCTTAAGCTATAGGTTCCTATATTGTGGGGATTGTGTCGTTCTTTTCAGTGTGCCCAACACTGACAAGGTTTGCAGAGGAAGTTATTCAATTGTTTATGGCTGGTGCATGTGTCAGCTGGCAGCTGGATACCTGGGCCTGCAGCCCTGAGAGATTGTTTTCTGATTTCCTGAAAACAGGTGACAAAACTATGAAAAGGATCTACTAGTATATGGGTATTTCTGGTCCTTAACAGGACCACTCTTGGCTGTGTACAGTTGCTTTTCAAAGTATTTGATACTTGATGTACAGTTATTAACAATACATTCATATCCTGAAACAAATTTACTTAGGAACTAACCCAGACTAGTGTATCATTTCTATAACTTATTATGTAATGACAATGATAATTAGCATTTATTGGGAGTGTATTATGGTCAAGCAGAGTTTCCAGTGCTTTTGTGTATTAACTCATTTCTTCCTCAAAACAACATACAGACGAGGCACAGGATAACTGACCTGCAGATGTGACTGAACTAGTAACTATAGCACAGGCATTGATACCATCCCTGCTAAAATAGCACCTCCCGTTTGTTTGTCTCCCTTTTTTCCTGCCATATTTTTCTGAACAGTGCTATGACGGGCCAACACATTATATAGTTATCCGTTGATTGATTTCCTACCTGCCTCCTCTAGTGTAGTATCAGCTTCATGAGATCAAGGACTTTAATGTGCCTAGCTCATGTTAGATGCTCAATAAGGATTTATTGAGCCCTAGCCGGTTTGGCTCAGTGGATAGAGCGTCGGCCTGCGGACGGAAGGGTCTCAGGTTCGATTCCGGCCAAGGGCACATGCCTGGGTTGCAGGCTAGATCCCCAGTGGGGGGCGTGCAGGAGGCAGCCGATCAATGATTCTCTTTCATCATTGATGTTTCTATCTCTCTATCCCTCTCCCTTCCTCTTTAAAATCAGTAAAGATGTATTTTTAAAAATGTGAAAATATAAAAAAATAAAAAAATAAGGATTTGTTGAATAAGTGAGTTAATGATCCTGGTGAGTAGTAATGAAGCTCTCAGTGAATATGACACAGGATGTATCTTTATCAACTATTCATTAAGTTATTCATTTCTTTTTAAACAAATCTGTCTGGAGTGCCTGCAACATGCCATGAGCTGGAGAAAGAGTAGTGACCAAAACAGTGGGGCTTCATTAAAAAGATGGATAAATACAAGGAAGATAAGTTACTAAAACACACAGGAGGATGTTAGAAAGTAATGACACTAAATATAAAAAGGACGTGAGTGGGGAAAAGAAGAAAAGTGGTGGGGAATTTAAATTATACAAAGCATGGTCATGGAAAAACTCTTTGAGAAGAATGACATTTGAGAAAATACCTGGTGTGAAATCAATCAATCAATCAATCAATCACTTTTTAAATTAAATAAATAACTTCATAGGGTTTGCCTTCCTGAGAAGCCCATGAATGACCCTTTTATGAATAAGTAACCTTTAAGGATGACCTTGATGTTGTTTGAGCAAAGCCAGTAAAATAAGAAACCCTGAAGATACAGCTCATCCTCTCCTCCTCCCATTGGGAGCTACAGGCTCAGAATCGCTCAGCTCAGAGGAACCTCAGGCATCAACTGGTTCACTCCTTCCTAACTACCCAGTGGAGTGTGTTTTCAGCCATTCATTGATTCCATGGATTTTTGAGTTCTCACTCTATTCTAGCTGCAAAGGATAAAAAGATGTGTTAATCATCTTATAGGCAAAAGAGTTGCTTACCCTCTAATTAGCTCCCAACTACCCCCAGGTGAAGGAAGGCTTCTCAGAGTAGCTGGCAGGCAGCAGGCTGGTGGTTGGCAGGTGGCGGGCAGGCGGTGAGCAAGTGCCCAGCTAGCCAGACGCCCCAGACCCCACTTGCTTTCTCTCACTAAATACTGTGAAATGTCAGGTCTCCTTGCAAAGCTCCATTACTGAGCCGAGCAGGAGAGTGCAGCAAATGTAGGGCCAGAGCAAGGAATTGGACGTTATAAAGGGAACTGCTTCCAGGCTTTGAGAAGCGGATGTGTTGCTCTCATTCCCGCCATAGTCCTTCTGCCAGAAGTAGGAAGGCCCATGAACATGAGTAGCTCTCAGGCATTGCATGCGTATTTGAATGTATTGACAAAGCTGTGAGCTAGACAATGGTACGAGCCCCACTTGATGGATGTGGAATAGGCACAAAGGGCTAGTGGGTCAGAAGGATCAGTAGTGGGATCCTGGCGATATGCCCCACCCAGACCTGCTGGCCTCAGAGTTTTACTCTGTGGTCATGGCCAGTGCATTCCAGGGCCTTTCATTTCCCACGGTCCCCAGGATGAGAGCAATGACCCTTTACTCTGTGCTATTAGCCTTACTGCTTGGAGCCGGGCAGGTAGTTCCCTGCCCTAGGGCCCCTGGCTGAGAGGCTACTGCTATGGGCCGAAGGGGGGGTCACTTTTTAAAACTCACACAGAGCAGCCATATGTGCCAGGGCCTGTGTCTCATGGCTTCTTTCTCCTTTGCCACTTCTGCCTTCCAGGGTTCTGTGCTTCTCCAGGAGCAGGAGAAAATGGCCAAGTTCCAGGTGAGTTGAGTTTTGATTTTCATCTCTTAAAGATCTCAAAGATTAGACACAGCATCTTTCTCTTCCTTGGGAAAGATAAAAGACAGGTGTTTGTTATACACCAGTTATTATTGTTTATATTGGTTCTGTTTTGTTTTTGTCTTTAACTTTTGTTTTTATTTTTGGTTTATCATCATTTATGGAAAGTTCAGAGATTCATAGATATAAAATTTTTTTTTTAAAGCCACATTACTGGGGGGTGGGAGTGGCTGGGGAGAGGTCAATGATAGAAAAAGGAGACATATGTAAGACTTTAAACAATGAAGAATTTTTTTAAAAAGCCACATCACTACACTGCTACGTCAGGTATTTCCTCATGCCATATTTTATATAATTACAACCACAGCATATGTACAATTTTAAATCTTACGTTTTCACTTAATGTTAGCATGAGTTTCTTTTTGTGGTTTGGCATTATTTTATATACTTCTTTCAGAAGGGTTTCTATTTTTTGTGTAAACTTCAGAAGTTACAAACATGCATATACCCCAGTGTGATGCTGAATAAATTTTGTTTTGATTCATAACCCTTTCGCATGAGTTTTAAACTTGAAATATAATTTACTTACAAAAATTAGACATCTTAAGTGTTAGGTCCGTGACAGTGCTATGCCCCATTTTTGAAAGTTGAATAATTACATTGGACCACCACCCAAAACCCGAAGTAGACCATTTACATTACCCACAAAAGTTCTCTCTTGGACTGGCTGTGAAAGACATGAGTTTATTAGGACTTATTTGAACTTACGTGTGCATGGGGCAGGGGTGGGGAGGGGCGGAGGGGGAGCGGTTGCCATTGAAGTCTCCAGGGTTATATAGAGTACAGATGACAGAGCCACCAGCCATAGTGTTTCCTTCTAGGCTCACACCCAGAAATGTTTTCTTTTTGGCCCTTCCTTGACCCAGGCCTTGGCCAGGTTCCCAAAGTCCCATGGTGCACTCTCAGATGACCTTCATTATATTCCCACAGGGGAGAGTTGGAGGGGCCCGTGTTCTCTCGTACCACATACTCTTTTGAGTCAGTTTTCTACCCCTCAGAGGCATCTGCTGTTCTGATCTGTCATCACATGATTAGTTTACTTGCTTACAAATTTAATATATTTAATTCGTACAGTATGTACTCTTGTGCCTGGCTTTTTTCACTCAGCATAATGTTTTTGAGATTCATCTATGTGGTATGCATCACTACATTATTCCTTTTTATTGTTGAGTTGTATTACATTTTATGAATATATAGGACACTTTGTTTATCCTTTGGAAGAATAGACACAATTCTCCTTTTGAAGGACATTTGGGTTCTTTGGCAGCTTTTGATATACATAACGGTCCTCTGAGCATTCTTGTGCAGGTCTTTTTGTGGGTATATTTTCATATCCCTTGAGTAATCATCTAGAAGTGGAATGACACAGTTTGTAGGGTAGGTGAATGTAAGCAGTTACCCAAAGAGGTGGTACCATTTACAGCCCACCACAGCATCTGAGAGTTTCAGTTGCTCTATATCTTTGCTATAGTTTGATGTAGTTCTTTTTATTTCAGTCACTAGAAGCCCAGTGCACGAAATTCATGCACAGTAGGGTGCCTAGTGGCTGCCGGCTGCCAGCAGTGACTCCATTCTCCAGCTGCTGGCTGCCGGCCAGGGCCTTCCTTCATTCTGTGCTGCCCCCTGGTGGTCAGCGCACATCATAGCGAGTGATCGAACTTCTGAGGGAACACTTTGCATATTAGGTTTTTATATATATAGACTAGAGGCCCAGTGCATGAAAATTCGTGCACTGGGGGGAGGTCCCTCAGCCCGGCCTGTGCCCTCTCACAGTTCGGGAGCCCTCAGGGGATGTCCAACTGATGATTTAGCAGTCTGGCCTCCCTCTTCGAGAGGCCACCCTGGTGGGCCTATCTGGGGATGTCAAGCGGCTGGCCCCACCCGGAATCGTCCTGCCACCCATGGCCTCCTTCTGCAGGAGGTGACTGGGCGGACGATCAGGGGATGGCCTTAGCCCCCATCGCCTCGCTGTTGGTCACTGCTGCCCCCCTCACCCCATTGCCGTCCCCTCCCTCTGGCACGCGCCTTGGCTGGCCTAGCATCACCTCCTCACCGGCCCCACCCCCCGCCGACCTGTGTTCCACTGTTCGGTTGATTTGCATATTACGCTTTTATTATATAGGATTCTAATGAATGGCATCTCACTATTACTGTAATTTGTATTTCCATCATAAAAAATGATGTTGGATACTTTTTCATGTGCATTTACACCATCCTCCTATATAATAAAAGGCTAATATGCAAATTGTCTCCTCGACCAGGTGTTCAACCAGGAATTCAACCAGGGGGCGGGGCCGGCCGGTGAACTGCCCACAGCCCCTCCCTGCAGCTGGCCGCGGCCCTTCCCCCTGGCTGGCCCTGTCCCTAATCAGCCCCCCCATCCCGATCGGGGGCAGGACTGGCTGGCCAACCTCCTGCATCCCTTCCCCCAGCCAGCCTTGCCTGATCAGCCCTGATCGGGGCAGGCTGGCCAGACCCCACCCGTGCACGAATTCATGTACCAGGCCTCTAGTATATATATCCCTTTTGAAAAGTTTATTGAAGTTGTTTGCCCATTTAAAAAATGGGCTTCTACTTTTTATTGTTAATGAAGGTTTTCTTTTCATATTCTGAGTTCAAATCCTTTGTCAGTTATATTTACTGTGAGTAAATATTTTTCCTTTCTGTGGTTTTCTTAGTTGTGTCTTTGTAATCATTTTTTAGTTGTAATTTGCATGTAATGTACATAAGATAAACTTTTCCAATCAGTTTTGACAAATATACATGCCTTGTGACCACCGCCCCATCTAAATGTAGACTGTTTCCATCACCCCAAAAGGTTCCCTCATGCCTCTTCCCACACCCCTGACTGTAGGCAACAGCAACTAATTTAACTTTACATCACTGCAGATTAATCTTTTCTTGAGTGCATATAAATGGAATTATATAGGATGTTCTCTTTGTGTCTGGCTTCATTTGTTCATTATGGTTTTGAACACATATCAATAGTTTATTCCTTTTAAAAAAAATAGTTTATTCCTTTTTGTTGCTGCATTGTATTTCGTTTTATGGGCATACCACAGTTGGGTTATCCATTCACCTATTCATTTTTGTCAAATGTAAATAAACTTCTATGACCACTTGTGGACTGGCCTTATGGGTGAACATGGCTTTCCTTTCTTTTTTCTTTTTCTTTTGATAAATAACTAGGAGGAGAATCTCTTTTAAAAAATTGCCAAATCATTTTACACTGTGGTTGTATATTTTACATTCTCAACAGAAATGGGTTAGAATCCCATAGTTTCCAACAGGATATATCTTCAAACATTTAAGTTTTAGCCATTCTAATGACAGTATAGTGGTATGTCAGTGTGGTCTCTCTTTCTTTCTCTCTTTCTTTCTTTCTTTCTTTCTTTCTTTCTTTCTTTCTTTCTTTCTTTCTTTTTTAATCAGTGCAATTTTCATTAGCATTTCCCTGTTGCCTGAGGATTTTGAACATCTTTTCTTCTTTTTGATCATTTGTATATCTTCTTTTGGAGTTGTTTGTTCAACTCTCTTGTTCAATTTTTAAAATAAGTTATGTTCTTACTCTTGAATTTTAATAGTTCTTTTTGGATTCCGGATACAAGTCCTTCTGACCCACGAACATTTAGATATTCCATTTATCTCTTTTTTTCATTTATTTAGGGCTTATTTCATTTCTCTCAGTCATGTTTTATAGTTTGCAGTGTACAGATTTCTTACATATATTTTGTTGTTGTTGTTGTTAATTATCACCTAAGGATATGTTTTCCATTGATTTTACTTTTAGAGAGTGTGGAAGGAAGGGAAGGAGGAGGAGGAAGTAGAGGAGGAAAAGAAAAAGGAGGAGGAGAAGAGAAAGAGAGAGAGAAACATCAACATGAGAGAGACTCATCGAATAGTTACCTCCTGCGCTCACCCCAACTGGGGCTAGGGATCGAAACTGCAACCCTGGGACCAACCCTTGTGGCTTAGTGGTTGAGCATCAATATATGAACCAGGAGGTCACGGTTTGATTCCCGATCAGGGCACATGCCCGGGTTGTGGGCTCGATGCCCAGTGTGGGGCGTGCAGGAGGCAGCTGATCAATGATTCTCTTTCATCATTGATGTTTCTATCTTTCTCTCCCTCACCTTTCCTCTCTGAAATCAATAAAAATATATTAAAAAGAAAGAAGAAGAAAGAAAAAAAGAAAGAAAGAAAAGGAAAGAAAAAAGAGAAGAAAAGAAGCTGCAACTCCGATATCCACCCTTGACCTGGAATCAAACATGTGATCCTTTGGTGTGTGGGCCGACTCTCTAACCACTGGGCCATAGTGGCCAGGGGTTCTTACACATATTTTGTTACATTTATCCCTAAGTGATGTTTTGGGTTTGATGTTCTAAATGGTATTGGTTTTGCAGGAGGTCACTATTCTATTCCCGATCAGGGCATATGCTCAGGTTGTGGACTCAATCCCCAGTATGGGGCATGCAGGAGGCAGCCAGTCAATGATTCTCTCTCATCATTGATGTTTCTTTCTTTCTCTGCCTCCCGCCCTCTCCTTCTCTCCCCCTCTCTTTTCTCCTCCCTCTCCCCCTCTCCTTTCTTCTCTGAAGTAAATAATAAAAAATAAAAAATAAGTGGTATTGGCTTTAAAATTCAATTTCTATTAGTTTGTTGCTAGAATATATAAATATAATTGATTTTTGTATCTTGACTCTGCTAAATTTTCATACTAGTTCTAGTAATATTTTGTACATCACAGAATTTTTTTATATAGACAGTAAATAAAGAGTTGTACTTCTTGCATTCCCATCTTCATTCTGTTGACTTCTTTTTCTTCCCTTATTGCATTGGCTAGGTCTGCTAGAACAGTTTTGAATAGAAGTCCTGACCACATACAGCCTTGCCTTGCTTCTAATCTTAGGGAGAAAGCATTCAGTCTTTCATCATTACCTGGTGGGTTTGTTTGTTTGTAATATATTTCAATTGATTTTTTAGAGACAGGAAGGGAGAGGGAGAGAGGGACAGAAACATTGATGAGAGAAACTCAATTGGCTGCCTCCTGCAGGCCCCCTACCGGCGATGGAGCCCACAACTTGGGCATGTGCCGTGACCTGGAATCAAATGGGTGTATGAGACAATGCTCAACCAATTGAGCCACACCAGCTGGGCTACCTGATGGGCTATTGTAGATGCCTTTATTGTGGTTAAATTGCTACTTAGGGTTGATATCATGAATGAATGTTACATTTTGTAAAACACTGTTTCTGTTTATACTCAGATGGTTGTATGACCCTTTGGTTCAGTTTGATTCTTTTGAGCTTTGTTTTTAAGCTGTGATAGGGTGAGTCTAGAGAAGTGGTTCTCAACCTTCTAGCCCTTTAAATAGTTCCTCATGTTGTGTCCCAACCATAAAATTATTTTCGTTGCTACTTCATAACTGTAATGTTGCTATTTCTCTTTCCCTCTCCCTTCCTCTCTGAAATCAATAAAGATTTTTTTTTAATTATCTACCAGCAGAAATCTAGGGTGATCATAGGGCTTATCTCACCTGCTTCCTTTATTTCAGGGATTAAAGGAATGTGCTTCCAATGTTGAAAACAGTTGTTCCATATATTTTGTCTGTATATTTCCTACGTTTTTTGTGGTAGGAGGGAATGTTCAATACCAGTTCCCCTGTTCTAGCCAACAGATATTTCTCTCCCCTGCATTTTTAATGACTACGTCATATTTCAATAAGTTAATGTTTCTTTTAAAAATCTGCTATTCCTAGGCATTAACATGGCTGAATGTTTTTAAAAAGTCGTTTTAGAGAGCACTGCTGTAACAGGTTTCCAACATACGTGCTCTATTCTGGAGACTGCCACTTCTGGAAAGATGGAAGAGATGTTCTTTCCCTGTTCTTCCTGCTAAAACGAAGTACAGCTAACACTCCTGGACACGGAATGTAAAACAAACGTGAAAGGTAGAGAGAAGGCAGACTGGCCAGGGACCGCAAGACTCAGGAGTGACATGGCATTGAGTTACTTGGGGTTGCTTCTCGCCTCATCTAAGACTGAGTGCTGCAGAGTATGGTAATGAGAGCAGCAATGGGTGCAGACCCAAAAAGCCTAAAAGCCTCTGACTAGTCAAAGAGCCAGGAAAGGGGCAGCCTAGCAAGACAGCAAACTTTTATTTCATTTTCTTTTTCTTTTTTAAAAAAGTATATTTTTATTGATTTCAGAGAGGAAAGGAGAGGGAGAGAGATAGAAACATCAGTGATGAGAGAGAATCATTGATCAGGCTGCCTCTGCAAGGCCCCACACTGGGGATCAAGCCCGCAACTGGGCATGTGCCCTTGACTGGAATCGAACCTGGGACCCTTCAGTCACAGACTGACGCTCTAGCCACTGAGCCAAACTGGCCAGGGCAAGATAGCAAACGTTTAGATAGTAACTGCTCTTCCCCTGCCAAATACCACAGGAAAACTGCAGCCCCACCCCCAGCCTGCCGGGCTGTAAGGAGCCACCCGAGCCTCCCTGCCAAGGGGAAGCCAGTACCTTCCAGCCCTACAGAGTCAGTGGAGACAAGGTGGGACCCTGGACTGCCCCCCCCACCCCGCCCCCTTGTGATAATGAACCACCTGTCTTTTCCCAGCGTGGGTGGTGTCAGACGGCCTAGTACAGGGGTGGGCAACCCCTGGCACGCGTGCCAAACATGGCACGCCAGTAACTTTTGTTGGCACGCGAAACCCTCTCTTATAATTTTCCATTTACAATTTTTTTCTTAATATCGACTTTTTTTATTTTTCAGATAAATTCAGTGTAGGTGCATCTTAGATAAATAATTTTACATAACAAGTTATCTTAAAGACCATAGACATGGATTGACTGAGAGAGGGGAAGAGCAATTTCTATGCCTCTGCCTTAACTCTCCCTGCCTTCCTAGATCCGACCGGTGTTTTGGTTTCATCTACATACGCTTGTGAATCTTTGTTCTCAGTGATGAATTTTGTTAAGTCTCATAATAGGAGTAGCCTGACGGATGAAAGTAGTAGCTCGTGCATATCTCTGAAGGTCACGAAATATAAACCTGATGTAAAATCTCTGTCATCAGTGATGCAGCAGCAAAAGTCCCACTGATAATATGAAGCAGAGTCATAAAGTTTTCTGTCGGACTATCAGTGTACATGTATACATTAAAAAATAAATGTATTTTTCATCATCATAGTAATAAAAGCTAACATTCATTGAGGACCTACTATGTGCCATGTATATAGGTTCTAAGACAACGCTGTACAGTAGAACTTTTGAGGTGATGGATATGTTCTGTTATTGGGCTGTCTAGCATGGTAGCTACAGGCCATGGTGGCCCTTGAGCATTTGAAATGTACTAGTGCAACTGTGGGAGAGAATTTTTGATTTTACATAAATGTAAATTTACATAGCCACATGTGACTAGTGGCTACTGAATTGGACAGTACACTTATAGGAACTTACATATCCTCCTTCATTTCTGTGTGTAAGAATATTCCGATATGAACACCATCACACGGATGAAATAGGTTAAGGGATTTGTTGGTCTAAGGCAGTGGTTCTCAACCTGTGGGTTGTGACCCCTTTGGGGGTCGAACGACCCTTTCACAGGGGTCGCCTAAGACCATCGGAAAACACATATATAATTACATATTGTTTTTGTGATTAATCACCATGCTTTAATTATGTTCAATTTGTAACAATGAAAATACATCCTGCATATCAGATATTTACATTATGATTCATAACAGTAGCAAAATTACAGTTATGAAGTAGCAACGAGAATAATTTTATGGTTGGGGGTCACCACAACATGAGGAACTGTATTAAAGGGTCGCGGCATTAGGAAGGTTGAA